ATCTCTCTTTTGAGACTAAGACCTTAGGAGAATCACATTAGCTAACTAGGTTAGGCATAATCAGTTGTTTTTTTTTGTTTTTTGTTTTGTTTTGTTTTGTTTTTTTGTAGAGTTACAATAATTTGTGATTAAAAAATGATGTTATGCATTTTGTTATAATATTACGTATTTTTTTATGCGAAATTGGCCAATAAGTCCCATATTTTGAACTTATAATTCATATAGTCTCATATTTTTTCTTTTGATCTGTTTAGTCCTTTTGGATGTGTAATAACTTATTTGACTGCCACATTAAAGTATCACATTTGGAAAAAAGCACACTAAAGAATTTTTTAGTGTCACATCATACCCGCCACATTAGAGTATCACATTAAGAGTTTTTAATTATTTTAGAGTGTCATATCATACCCGCCACGTTGAAGTGTCATATGCCACGTTTGGAAAAAGTATACTAAGAAATTTTTAATTTTTTTAGAGTGTCACATCATACTCGCAACGTTGTCACATTTGAAAAAAATATATACTAAAGAGTTTTTTTTTTTTTTTTTTTTGTGAAGCATCACATCATACTAGCCACGATGTCACAAAAAGAAAAAGTACACTAAGGAGTTTTTATTTTTTTTGTAGTAAAAGTTTTGGAGTGTCAAATCATACTCGCCACGTTGTCATATTTAGGAAAAGTACACTAAGAAGTTTTATCATACTCGCCATGTTGGAGTGCCATATGTCACGTTTAGGAAAAGTACACTAGGAGTTTTTAATTTTTTTTAGAGTGTCACATCATATCTGCTATGTTGTCACGTTTGAGAAAAGTACACTAAGGAATTTTTATTTTTTTTGAAGTGTCACATCATACCCATCACGTTGTCACATTTGAGAAAAGTACACAAAAAAGTTTTTATTTTTTTTAAGTAAAAGTTTTGGAGTGTCACATCATACCCGCATTTTGTTACATTTAGAAAAAGTACACTAAGGAGTTTCTATTTTTTTTTTTGGAGTGTCACATTAATATCTACCACATTGGAGTATTACATCATACCTGTCACATTAATAAAAGGGTATAGTTGTCCCCCAAAACACTCTCAAAATAAAAAATAAGACCACACGGAAAGAAATTCTCCACTAATAGGATTTAACAAATCAATAGAAAAAACTTGAGACTCATTGGAGTACTTGTTTGTGAGATGAGATTTATTGGTAAATATCTATTTCTTTAGCTAAATATTTTCTAACAAAAAAATGTGTAACATTAGCATAAAATGTATAACTTCATTTTTGAATAACAAATTATCGTAACTCTAGCAAAAAAAAAAAAAATGTAATATTTATCACAAAAATGCATAACACAACTACAAAAATGAAATTACATAACAAGGGTGCATTCGCATATGATACACACTTTTTGAGGAGTGTATATGACAAAATTATTTGAAAGTAGAATTAAAAGTCTTGTCCTTGTTATGGAATATTTTGAAAAGTAAATTTTTTTTATTAACTTTTTTTTTTCTAAAAACGTATATAAAAAAAAATAATGTCACCTAAGTAAATTAATAAATTAACTTTTTTTAGTTTTCCCAAAAAGGCCATAAATGTTATCCAGACCATTTAAACCAAATGAGACTACAACTTATATATTAGCACTTCAATAACAAACACCATTCAACACTTCTATTCACATGCCATTTTACGAAACTACGTCCGAGGGAACCGGCACCCATAAATAAGATTTCAGGACTTGCACCCTGGACACTCTAACCAACTTAATTATCCATGGAGTCCATCCCCTATCTCATCCCAAACAAATGGAGTACATCCCCTATCTCCTCACACACAATATACATATACAATGTATTTAAACACATAGTCATATACAATGACCCGACAATTCACATATTCAATGTATTAATTCCACCGTCACATTCAATGACATAATCCAATTGATTAGTTTCAATTTTCTCTAATCATCATGAAGTGTCTATAACAATTAAGACTATCCTCCACAGATAACCCAAAGCAGTTATTTCTAAACAGATAAATAAACCCATCAAACAGATAATTTATTACACTTTCCATCGGTGAGTGATTTATCAATCCAACTACACCATTCAATCACAATTTCTCCCAATTCCATAATTTTCCGATATTATCATGATTTAGACAAATAATATATGAAAATAATGACTTTTAATTTAATTTTATTAACCAAATGAGTTTATAATTTTTTTTAAAGGAAATAAAAAAAATCCTATATTTGATTTACACCTATGCAAAAATTGAAGGAAAATTTACCCATAAATCCTATTTTGTGTAAAGTTGAATCATTTAATCCTAAGAGTTTTCTTATGCACCATTTAGTCTCCTTTTATTTGATAATGTTTGCTAATTATTACAACCCTCTTGCCTTGCCTCTTATTTAGGACTTTTGCCCTCTATCCAAATATCTCGAATTCCAGTATTACCGCACCATATCTCGGCAATACCGTAATCATCTCGACAATTTGACTCATCCACGTGGCACCTCGGCCAACACCTCAACGACACCTCGGCCGCGTGGTACGACCTCGAAAATACACCCCCACAAAAAATTATAAATGAAATCTGACATATAATACTAGATAAAGCATGCACATAGTCATTGTAGAAGATAAGTAAAAAAATACTATAAATAATTACATATACCTTTATAAAGGAAATTCACGATAAGAATTACGTCAGCTTTTTTAAAACAAAATTTTAACTAAATAGGTCTTTAACTAATTAATAATACTTATGGACTTATATTTTATTTATATAATCATCTCATGGATCAAATAGATTTGAATTAAATATTTTATAAATTTAATCGACAGTTTAAGAATTTAATAGACTGAGTCGAGAATTCAAAAACTAAATAAATTTAATAATAATTTAAGAATATAAACTGCGATAAACTCTTAAATTTATTGTTGGTGTGATGTCAAAGACAAAGGGAAATGTTACTATGGAAATATGTGAACTTAGCAGATCTTTTGAGTATGTATGTATAATTAATTACTTAGTTTTATGTCTTTTTCAAAAAGTCAATTTTTCAAACAACCCCTAAAGTAGCCCAGGTAGTGTTACATGTTTGAGAAAAGTCTATATAAGTATAGTATTCCCTCTCTTTTCTCTACCATTCCCACCTTTGAAGCTCCTCTCCTCTGATATTCCTACTTTGTAAGTCACCTCTCTCTCTCTCTCGCGGCAAGCAAGAAAAGCTTTTCACTTCTACAAGTCAAGGTAGTCAGTTCACCTCTCATTCATCCTAACTTTGTATTTAAATTATAGATTTAGATAAAAAAATTAGAAAGAAGAAATATATATGTATATATATAAATCATTCATATTTATTTCATTTTTCTTTTTAAATTTATATCTAAATCTATGATCCAAATAAAACATAAATATGTCTAATCATTCATGCATCACAAATACACATGCACATAGTTTTCCTTGATGACTTTTCAAATTGCATTCATGAATATTAGAGAAGTTTGATCAGGGCAATAAAGAAAAAATTTCATTTTAAATGTGTTATATGCTCAATTATGACTTCTTTAGTCTGTAATTATGACTTAATTGACTGTAGTAATAACTCATTGTGACTGGATTTTTTTTTATTTTTTTATTTTTTAACGACTCATTGATGTATTGGTTTTGAGCTAGTTGTGATTTTTGTTCTAATTATATCTAAAGTGGTGAGAGAAATCTACAACATGCATTCTTAAAAAAGTACATTTGAAAAAATGTTACGAGTTTTTGTTATAAAAATTATAAATTTTCATGGTGTTGTGATAAAGTTATGGATAATGAATTTATAGTGTGCACCATAAGATTATGAATGATGAAGTTAACACTTTAGTAATTTTGTTATGATATTTTATAATGAAAAATGGTTATATCAAATGTATACAATGTACACCCCATTGTAACATACCTTGAGTGACAATTTGGTAAGAATCTATTGTGCTGCTTTGATTATAATTGAAATAACTTAATTATGAGGCAAAATAATATCAAAATCACAATATTATAACTTGTATATAGCATACCAAAAACAAAATGTTTATTATAAAATTTCTTACAAAAAATGTCAAGTACGGATTCTTTAGAATAATTTTTCTTAAAGTGATGTATTATATAACTGAAATTTTTACTATTAGGATGGATATTGGCTCATGTGGGTTTAAGAGCTTTTCCCCCAATTTTTACTATAGATTTTTGAATTTTTAACACTCACAATAGTCCCCTTTTCTTTCAATCCTCCTCTCTTATTGTTGTGGATCTTCTTCTTCTTCAACTCTGGCTTTCGACAGTGACCGATCTACAAGAATGCAATGACAGAGTTGAACAACAAAAACAAAGACAATGGCGATAAGAATGGCAACGAAGGGGCAAAGCTTCTTTTTTTTTTTTATATGGATATTTTATTTTTCAAATCACATCTCTGAGTAGATTAGTAATTTTCACATATTGTTGCAAATTCTTTAACAATTTTTGTACTTTATTGTTATAGTTTCGATATGTTTTCGTATTTTAGTCCTTTTTTGTTTTTCTTTTGTTTAGTATGATATTAACTTTTATTTTAATATAAATGCCTTATAACTTTTTCTCAAAAAAAAAAAAAAAAAAAAAAACAAACAAACAAAACATTAGCACATATGTGCATATCTGATGTAACGCCCCGAAAATATAATGTCTGGGAACTTTTAAATAAGTTAATTTTTTTTTATCTTTAGTGATTTTTTTTTTTTCAAAATCATGTTAACTTTTTTTAATATTTTTAAAACTTTTTTGGTCTATCTTATATAAACGAATCTAAAAACAAAATATTTCAAAAAAAAATTTAAAAAGCCAAAATAAATCAAAAAAACTATTTTTTGCTTGTTTATCTTTTCTAAATGTTTTTTCAAATATTTAATTTTCTGGTTTGTCTTGTCAAATAAAATTTAAAAGTATAAAACTTTTTAAATATCTTTAAAAAATTCACTAAAAACAAAAATAAACCAAAAAAAAAAAACTACACAAAAAAACCCCCAAAATGACAATAACATTTCAATAATTATACATAAATAATTATTTTAAACTTATCAACATTCATTAGATGTTATGTACACACCACAGTTTGCAATGAATTATAACTTCAAAATCTCTCCCCCTCTCTCTTATGTGCAATAGCTATCTGCTTTGTGTTCATTTTAATTACTTAATTAGGTAATGTTAAGATCATCAAATGTTTGTATCAAATTTACTTATTAAACATCATTCATGCATTGTCGCAATCTATTAAAAATATCTATTATTTCACTCTTTATATAATGGCTCGTAAGTAGCACCTTACAGGTCATTCATGATGCAATGCAATGAAAGACAAGATTTATTCGCCAATGCATTAGTGAGGTAAGGCAAGGGAAGCAAGGGATGTACCCGCAAAATTATAGAATTCACTCTTTATATCTATGCTTGTATATTTTTGGAAAATTGCAATTCAGGGTGATTTTGAAATATAATTACAAATAAGTGACAAAGTTTATACATGTTAATAATTAAAAACAATTTTTTTTATTATAAATCTGTAATAATTTTCTAAAACTATCGCTGATCCGCAATTTCTATTATATTTTTGTGCAATTGGCATAAAAATATATAAAATTCTCTTTTCTTTTTACTGTTAAAGAGTTTTTTGCTATGTCAAATAATAAAATCCCATAATTCATAAAGAAAATTGCTAAATTCACAACTTTATAATCTTATCCAAAGTCATATTTTTCACAACATGGCGCCTAAAATTTAAATTGTGAATATTGAAATCTACCATCTAAATTCTAATTAATATTTTCATTTTATAAATTGTTATAGAACAAAGCTCATTAAACATTGTATGTGATTATTTGAGAACGATTTAAAACAAACAAAAAATAATCTGATTCGGAAAGTATCTAAAATAAAAATTTATCAAGTACTTTCTAATTTATGTCATATAAATGCAGACGTCTAAAAAAGGAGTTGAGAACTTGAAAAAACAAGAAAATGTGGAAGCTGAAGGTTGCAGAAGGTCATGGACCATACTTGTTTAGTACCAACAAATATATTGGTCGACAAATTTGGGAGTTTGAACCTAATGCAGGATCACCAGAAGAGCGAGCAGCAGTTGAAGAAGCACGAGAAGAATATAAAAAGAAATCCAAACAAGATCGAGCTCGGGCTTTGCCTTGCTCTGATCTTCTGATGCGAATGCAGGTGAACACATACAACCATTGCATGACCAAATAAATATAAATATGCAGCTAGCATAAGCATATCATTCAACAAGTTCACAGTCATGTTTCCCACTTGTAAGAAAATCAAATAGTATCTTAATGATTTTCGCTTGTCAAATTAACACATAGATCTCTCAAATCACTCTGCATCGTACCTAAAAACTTTTCATTTTCTAATAATTCTAAAGACCAGTAAAAAAAAATCCAAAAAATGGATGGGTTTCTCTCCACTGCACTGGAATGTGACAAACTTTTTCAATTGTTCACCAACTTTACATGTATTTTGATCTTCAATCCATAGCTTAAAAAGGAAAACAACAATATCGACCTAAGCATACCACCGGTGAGAGTAGGGGAGAAAGAAGAAGTGACCTATGAGGCGGCAACAATTGCTTTGAGGAAAGCTATTCGGTTAAATCGCGCCATACAAGCAAGAGATGGGCATTGGCCTGCTGAAAATGCAGGACCGATGTTTTTTACACCACCCCTAGTAAGCGTTCACTCCTGTTTCGTTGGGTTTTCGTTTTCTGTTTTCTATTTTCATTTTGCAGAAAACACAACAAAACCAATACCAATTGAACAAATGTTTCACATTTATATATAGAATTACTAATCAAATTTTCACCTAAGTGTTGGTAATGCAATATAACTAATGCAGATCATTATCCTATACATAAGTGGAGAAATTAATACTATCCTAACATGGGAACACAAAAAGGAGTTGGTTCGCTATCTCTATCTTCATCAAGTATGTATTACTCAAGATCCAAACACAACCTTAATGTTCAATATCAAAGTCATTAATGAACTATAAATCTAAAATGTGGCAAATGTTTGTATTATGCAGAATGATGATGGCGGATGGGGATTTTACATAGAGGGTCACAGCACCATGATTGGCTCAGCACTTAGCTACGTTGCTCTACGTTTGCTCGGAGAAGGGCCTGATGGTGGACAAGATGGGGCAATGACAAAAGCCCAGAAATGGATACTTGATAATGGCGGTGCTACAGGGATACCCTCTTGGGGGAAGACTTATCTATCGGTAAAATTAATACAATCTCATTAGTAAAAAGAAAGTAATATTTGTCACCAGATACATATTATCATTTTTTCGCCTCCTATGTGGATCCATAAAATACCATGTAATTATAGTATTCATAATAGGATAAATTACACTAACAGTCCCTGTAGTTTGGGACTTGTGTTACTTTGGTTCATGATTTTTCAATTATGACACATTTAACCCTAAATTTTGAATCTTATTTCAAATAAGGACAATCAAATATATTTCAAGGGCAAAGTCATCATACAACTTATTTTGTGCTGTTAACTTGCATGTAGTTTGAAATGTAATGGCATTTTTTTAATGAATAATGCTGAAGCTTTTTTAGTTATAAAGTTCTGATTGGTTCGGTTTTTAGAATCTATTTTTGGAAAAAATTTCTAAGAAACTAAAAATTAAATTGGTGAAAAAAATTAAAAACACATCATTTTTATATAATTTTATCTTCTGAAAAGGTAAAAATAATTTTTTAAAATAATTTTTTCGATATTTATTTTTGTTAAATTAGTTTTTAATTTTTCAAAAGTCAAATATGGCGACAACTTTGATATCATTATTAAACCAATTCATTAAATCCAAAAAATTCAAAACTAAAAACATTTCATATATTAAACATATCAATTACACATTAAAAACCTAATAACCATTCATTACATGATAACCATTTAAAAATATTTATATACAACTATCTATTACATGATAACTAGGGCTGCAAACGAATCGAACCGAGCCGAGCCGAGCCGAGATTTGCTGAGCTCGAGCTCTGCTCATTTACTTATCGAGCTCGTTTATTGAGCTCGAGCTCGACTTGATAAGAAACTGAGCTCGAGCTCTGTTTGGCTCGTTAACATTAATAAAACTTGAGCTCGGCTCGGCTCGACTCAATAATTTTTTTTAATATTATTTTTATTATTTTTTATATATTATTTAATATATAAATAATATATTTATTATATAATTTAAATAAAGGTAAACGAGCCGAGTTTATGCAAGCTCGAGCTCAGCTCGTTTACTAAACGAGCCGAGCTGAGTCGAACTTGTTCATAAACAGGTCGGTTCATTTGCAGTCTTAATTAAGAGTTGACATATATGATACCACATCATTGTGGGTACAATTGTGGATTTTTCAAAAACAACCCCACATTACATGATCATCATTCAAACACATACTAAAAATTAATTTGATAAAAAAAAATGTAAAAGATTTATCATTTTTAAATAATTTTATCTTTAGTGGATAGAAATAATTTTTAAAAATTTTAAAATATTTTTTTGACATTTATTTTTGCCAAACTAGTTTATATTTTATCAAATTGACGACATTGACTTGAAATTGAGTAATGGTATCTTCAATTATCCTTATTTAAAATGAAATTCAAAATTCAAGGTTAAATGTATTACAATTAAAAAGTCAGGGATCAAAATGAATCAAATCCCAAACTATAAGGACTGTTAGTGTAATTCGTCCTTCATAATATTTAGAAATTGTTACATATCACCCAACAAAGTTACGTAGCCAAAAAAATACCAAAAGTGCCCAAATCTTAAATGTGTGGATCAATTCATTATGTGTACCAATTTAAATCTAAACCACATATTCTAATTCTACATTTTTTTATTTTTTTTTATTTTTTTTTATGGTCACAAAGTATTTCTATACATCACCAAATGGGTTCCACAGTTTTTTACCTACACCATGCTCTATGTATACATGGCATTTATTGTGTCAGATGCATGTAGGATGTAAAAAATAATAGTGACATCTATCCAGTGATATATAACCGTGGATATCTCTATCACTAAACCGATTTCAGTCATTATTTTTAGATGTTGAATCTGAAAATCTAATGTGAATTTTAATTTGCACATGGTGATGCAAACAAGTTTTTAAATTGTTTTTTTCTCCATTTTCTACAGGTGTTGGGAGTGTATGAATGGGCCGGATGCAACCCACTGCCCCCAGAATTCTGGCTTTTCCCTTCATTTTTGCCTTATCATCCAGGTGACTAAAAGGGAAATTTATTTCCTATATTTTATCATTTTGTATTCGTTGTTTTAAACAAAAGTTATAGGAGTATCCTTTACTTGAAGAAAATATGTAAAACATTATACATTCTCGTACTTGAAACTCTCAATTTAATTACCTATTAAAATGATCAAACCTAACATTTATACACAATCTAAGTCTAGCTCTCGTCTGGACAACTGTACTTGTTTTACTAATGATCATTAAACCAGTTACAAAGTTTCCACATTAAATAATTTGCAGGGTTACTAATTAAGATTAGGTAGTTTAAATGACTGAATTTCGTGCCAGCCATCCAATGAATAAATGTTTATCTTCTTGTTCGGTCTAAGCCTAACTCTATTCTTCTACAAAATTAAGCAAAAATGTGGTGTTACTGTCGCACGACTTACATGCCCATGTCATACCTGTACGGGAGGAAATATCATGGGCCGATCACCGATCTTGTCAAGTCATTAAGACTAGAACTTCACCCAAAGCCATATGAGGAGATAAACTGGAATAAAGCGCGCCATGACTGCTGCAAGGTTAGGGAAATCTACTATTATTGCAATTATGAAACGGAACTGAATTTTTGAACATGTTCAATCCTAATGAAGCCTATATATACTATATTGTAAAACGCAGGAGGATCTCTACTATCATCATCCCTTCATACAAGATCTCATTTGGGATGGTCTTCATTATCTAAGTGAGCCGATCATGAACTGTTGGCCCTTCAACAAGATAAGAGAGAGAGCCATCCGAAAAACAGTCAAGTACATGCGTTATGGAGCAGAGAGTACCAGATACATTACCATAGGATGTGTTGAAAAGGCGAGTAACATAAACAAAATCAAATGGGTTATCGGTTTCGAAACTCTTCAGATTGGAAGTGTGAAACAAGTCTAATATGTTCTTGTTACAGAGTTTGCAAATGATGTGTTGGTGGGCGGAGAACCCTGATGGCGATGAATTCAAGCATCATCTTGCCCGAATTCCTGATTATTTGTGGCTGGCTGAAGATGGAATGAAAATGCAGGTTTATATCATAAAAACCTACAACTTACGACAATAGTTTCCTACTAAGACATAAGCAACCTCAACCCTATTTTCTGAGAGGTTTTTGTGAGTTGAACCTGCGCCACTAGAAACACAAATGACAAACCTTACAGTTACACCAAATTGCCCTTTATAATTTGAAAACAGGATATTTTTGTTAACTACTTTGTTGAATTGCAGAGTTTTGGCAGCCAATTATGGGACACTACTTTCGCCACTCAGGCAATTATAGCGAGTAATATGGCTGACGAATATGGGGATTCTCTTAAGAAGGCACATGTTTACATAAAAGAATCACAGGTTTCTTCTTATCCCAAAAAAAAAAAAAAAAACATGATTTTTGTGTGTGCGCGCGCAAAATGTATGCAACGACTTCATTTCACTCATTAACATTGTATGTTCTTCAAATTTGAAGATCCAAAAAAATCCACCAGGGGATTTCAAGAGCATGTATCGTTGCTTTACTAAAGGAGCATGGACTTTCTCTGATCAAGATCACGGTTGGGGAGTCTCGGACTGCACAGCTGAATCATTGAAGGTAATCTTGCTTTATGTTACAACTATATAACAATTCAATGGTAATTTGCAATTTGGGGTTGTATGTGGAAGCTGAAGGTTGCAGAAGGTCATGGACCATACTTGTTTAGTACCAACAAATATATTGGTAGACAAATTTGGGAGTTTGAACCTAATGCAGGATCACCAGAAGAGCGAGCAGCAGTTGAAGAAGCACGAGAAGAATATAAAAAGAAATCCAAACAAGATCGAGCTCGGGCTTTGCCTTGCTCTGATCTTCTGATGCGAATGCAGGTGAACACATACAACCATTGCATGACCAAATAAATATAAATATGCAGCTAGCATAAGCATATCATTCAACAAGTTCACAGTCATGTTTCCCACTTGTAAGAAAATCAAACAGTATCTTAATGATTTTTGCTTGTCAAATTAACACATAGATCTCTCAAATCACTCTGCATCGTACCTAACAACTTTTCATTTTTTAATAATTCTAAAGACCAGTAAAAAAAATCCAAAAAATGGATGGGTTTCTCTCCAGTGCACTGGAATGTGACAAAGTTTTTGAATTGTTCACTAACTTTACATGTATTTTGATCTTCAATCCATAGCTTAAAAAGGAAAACAACAATATCGACCTAAGCATACCACCGGTGAGAGTAGGGGAGAAAGAAGAAGTGACCTATGAGGCGGCAACAATTGCTTTGAGGAAAGCTATTCGGTTAAATCGCGCCATACAAGCAAGAGATGGGCATTGGCCCGCTGAAAATGCAGGACCGATGTTTTTTACACCACCCCTAGTAAGCGTTCACTCCTGTTTCACATTTATATATAGAATTACTAATCAAATTTTCATTTTGCAGAAAACACAACAAAACCAATACCAATTGAACAATGTTTCACATTTATATATAGAATTACTAATCAAATTTTCACCTAAGTGTTGGTAATGCAATATAACTAATGCAGATCATTATCCTATATATAAGTGGAGCAATTAATACTATCCTAACATGGGAACACAAAAAGGAGTTGGTTCGCTATCTCTATCTTCATCAAGTATGTATTACTCAAGATCCAAACACAACCTTAATGTTCAATATCAAAGTCATTAATGAACTATAAATCTAAAATGTGGCAAATGTTTGTATTATGCAGAATGATGATGGCGGATGGGGATTTTACATAGAGGGTCACAGCACCATGATTGGCTCAGCACTTAGCTACGTTGCTCTACGTTTGCTCGGAGAAGGGCCTGATGGTGGACAAGATGGGGCAATGACAAAAGCCCAGAAATGGATACTTGATAATGGCGGTGCGACAGGGATACCTTCTTGGGGGAAGACTTATCTATCGGTAAAATTAATACAATCTCATTAGTAAAAAGAAAGTAATATTTGTCACCAGATACATATTATCATTTTTTCACCTCCTATGTGGATCCATAAAATACCATGTAATTATAGGATTCATAATAGGGTAAATTACACTAACAGTCCCTGTAGTTTGGGACTTGTGTCACTTTGGTCCCTGACTTTTCAATTATGACACATTTAACCCTAAATTTTGAATCTGCTTCGTGATGTGGTCTATATGCTCTATCATGTTGTTGGTCAAATGATTTTTACTATCTCCAATTTGACCTTTTCGGAAGAAGTTGGAATTTTCGACTGCAACTTCCGTATTAAATTGTTGCACACCACACTTATTAACCTCCAAGTTGCTCAAATTCTCAAAACTACAAAACTTAGCTATTTTTTGCGCCACTTCTTCTTTCTCTTCCTCTATTGTGAAAGGTTGTCCTAGAAATACTGCCAATCTTTTGAGGTAAACCGATGGCTCTCTTTTCAAATCCTCATACCTCAGGAACAATATCTTATCAGGTGATTCTTGATTCGCCTTCCAATATCCCAACACATGATCCCAAAAGGGTCCATAATCTGAAATGCCCTTGCAAAAGAGATCAAATGCTTCGTCTAGTGATAGTGGTGGTTGTTCTTTGGGTTTTAGTTTGTTCAAGAAGTACCACATAGACACAAGCACATCTTTGGGGTCGCGCCAAATGTAAACAAACTTGCAACCAGAAGCTATCACAGATTCAGGTAGCAAAGGGTAAGGAATGTGAGTAGCAAGGAGCCGAGGTGAAGGAATAGCTTCAAGATCACTAATGGGACAGTCACTAAAATTATGTGTATCTAAGCAGGGGAAGCAACCATGGGGACCGGTATTGAGCAAAGGGTGGGAGGAAAAATCATGAAGGGACCTATTCATCGTGGCAAACATGAGGGTGCGAAGCCATATCGTGCCACACTTTATGAAGGCTGCCAAGAAAATATCAGTGGGACGAGGCTTGAAGTGATTTTGTACCAACATGGCTCCTTTCAAGCCAATATCAGGGTTAAACCAAAAACCTTGATACTGGAGAACATGTTGGCTCATCCAGCCTCTCCCTTTGGGAAGGGTTTGGAGCATCTCATTGTACTTTTGGTAAGTTTCTTTATACTCTTCTTTTTTTTGATAAGCAAAAGAGAGCTTTATTGATGAAGAAAGCAGAACAAGCAAACCACTTACATCAATAAAGAGGGAAGTGCAAAAGCATCACCGCAGGCCTTAGCAATCCCAACTAGGTTGACACCGCTAGGGGAGCAAAATCATCTGCTAGCACTTGACCCAAGATTGGCGAGAAACCAATCCAGAGAAAGCAAGAGAAAGGGAAAGGAAAAAAAGAAAAACCAAACTAGCCACCTAAACATTGACTAAACAGAAGAGAAAAAATGAAACAAAGAGCATGAAACAAACCAACTACAATCCAAACTGACTAAACAGCAGAGGGCCTCAGACCATTCCAACTGCAGGACCAAACATAGAGCATAATTCTTCAAACTGATACAAACTACACAGCAGGCCAACAGACTAGAACCAAGGGAGCAACCAGCTCAGACCAGATCAGCCTTCCAAATATTCCCAAGAATTGGTGACAGACACCTTGGCAGAACACACACGGCTGCAGGCCAACAGACAGAACCAAGGGAGCAACCAGCTCAGACCAGATCAGCCTTCCAAATGTTCCCAAGAATTGGTGACAGACACCTTCTGTCTTCACACTAGAAACAGACCAGCCAAACTCCTATGTGCATCTGCAACAGCAAACAACACAGAAGCCACAACAGAGAGCAGAGCACAGAAGCCAAAGGCCAAATGCCCCAAAAGCAGAGCACAGGGCAGAACACAGAAGCCAAAAGCCCCAAAAGCACACTCGGGATAATGCAGAGCAGAACACAGAAACAGAGTTCTCACAACAAAAGCAGAAAACACGCAGAGAATAACCAAGAAGGGAAGGCACACACAGAAGCAGAACACACACACAGAGCACTCGAGCTTGTTCATAAACAGTTCGGTTCATTTGCAACCCTAATGATAACCATCCAAAAATATTAACAAAAACAACCCCACATTACATGATCATCATTCAAACACATACTAAAAATTAATTTGATAAAAAAAAATGTAAAAGATTTATCATTTTTATATAATTTTATCTTTAGTGGATAGAAATAATTTTTAAAAATTTTAAAATATTTTTTTTGACATTTATTTTTGCCAAACTAGTTTATATTTTATCAAATTGACGACATTGACTTGAAATTGATTAATGGTATCTTCAATTGTCCTTATTTAAAATGAGATTCAAATTCATGATTAAATGTATTACAATTAAAAAGTCAAGGATCAAAGTGAATCAAATCCCAAATTGTAAGGACTGTTAGTGTAATTTGCCCTTCATAATATTTAGAAATTGTTATATATCACCCAACAAAGTTACGTAACCAAAAAAATACCAAAAGTGCCCAAATCTTAAATGTGTGGATCAAATACCAAAAGTGCCCAAATCTTAAATGTGTGGTCAAATTCATTATGTCTACCAATTTAAATCTAAACCACATATTATAATTCTACATTTTTTTTTTATGGTCACAAAGTATTTCTATACATCACCAAGTGGGTTCCACAGTTTTTTACCTACACCATGCTATATGTATACATGGCATTTATTGTGTCAGATGCATGTAGGATGTTAAAAATAATAGTGACATCTATCCAGTGATATATAACCGTGGATATCTCTATCACTAAACCGATTTCAGTCGTGCTATAAGTTTTTAAATTGTTTTTTTCTCCATTTTCTACAGGTGTTGGGAGCGTATGAATGGGCCGGATGCAACCCACTGCCCCCAGAATTCTGGTTTTTCCCTTCATTTTTGCCTTATCATCCAGGTGACTAAAAGGGAAATTTATTTCCTATATTTTATCATTTTGTATTCGTTGTTTTAAACAAAAGTTATAGGAGTATTCTTTACTTGAAGAAAATATGTAAAACATTCTACATTCTCGTACTTGAAACTCTCAATTTAATGACCTATTAAAATGATCAAACCTAACATTTATACACAATCTAAGTCTGGCTCTCGTCTGGACATCTGTACTTGTTTTACTAATGATCATTAAACCAGTTACAAAGTTTCCACATTAAATAATTTGCAAGGTTACTAATTAAGATTAGGTAGTTTAAATGACTGAATTTCGTGCCAACCATCAAATGAATAAATTTATATCTTCTTGTTTGGTCTAAGCCTAACTCTATTCTTCTGCAAAATTAAGCAAAAATGTGGTGTTACTGTCGCACGACTTACATGCCCATGTCATACCTGTACGGGAGGAAATATCATGGGCCGATCACCGATCTTGTCAAGTCATTAAGACTAGAAATTCACCCAAAGCCATATGAGGAGATAAACTGGAATAAAGCGCGCCATGACTGCTGCAAGGTTAGGGAAATCTACTATTATTGCAATTATGATATGGAACTGAATTTTTGAACATGTTCAATCCTAATGAAGCCTATATATACTAAATTGTAAAATGCAGGAGGATCTCTACTATCATCATACCTTCATACAAGATCTCCTTTGGGATGGTCTTCATTATCTAAGTGAGCCGATCATGAACTATTGGCCCTTCAACAAGATAAGAGAGAGAGCCATCCGAAAAACAGTCAAGTACATGCGTTATGGAGCAGAGAGTAGCAGATACATTACCATAGGATGTGTCGAAAAGGCGAGTAACACAAACAAAATCAAATGGGTTATCGGTTTCGAAACTCTTCTGATTGGAAGTGTGAAACAAGTCTAATGTGTTTTTGTTACAGAGTTTGCAAATGATGTGTTGGTGGGCGGAGAACCCTGATGGCGATGAGTTCAAGCATCATCTTGCCCGAATTCCTGATTATTTGTGGCTTGCTGAAGATGGAATGAAAATGCAGGTTTATATCATAAAAACCTATAACTTACGATAATAGTTTCTTACTAAGACATAAGCAACCTCATCCCTATTTTCTGAGAGGTTTTGTGAGTTGAACCTGCGCCACTAGAAACGCAAATGACAAACCTTACAGTTACGCCAAATCTCCCTTTATAATTTGAAAACAGGATATTTTTGTTAATTACTTTGTTGAATTGCAGAGTTTTGGCAGCCAATTATGGGACACTACTTTCGCCACTCAGGCAATTATAGCAAGTAATATGGCTGACGAATATGGGGATTCTCTTAAGAAGGCACATGTTTACATAAAAGAATCACAGGTTTCTTCTTATCAAAAAAACAAAAAAAACATGATTTTTGTGTTTGCGCACGCAAAATGTATGCAACGACTTCATTTCACTCATTAACATTGTATGTTCTTCAAATTTGAAGATCCAAAAAAATCCAGCTGGGGATTTCGAGAGCATGTATCGTTGCCTTACTAAAGGAGCATGGACTTTCTCTGATCAAGATCACGGTTGGGGAGTCTCGGACTGCACAGCTGAATCACTGAAGGTAATCTTGCTTTATGTTACAACTATATAACAATTCAATGGTAATTAGCAATTTGGGGTTGTCAGACCCCACTTTAGCGGGAATCTAATGCATTGAGTTGTTCATTTTGAAGTTGTCATAACCAAATTTTCCCATTTCTTTGCAGTGTCTACTAACATTTTCGCAAATGCCTACCGAAATTGTAGGGGAAAAAGCTGACAATGAGAGTTTATATGATGCAGTGAATGTCCTTCTATTCTTACAGGTACAACATACATATTATATTTGATTTTTGACAATGAAGATCATATACAACTCTAATGCATAGAGACAGACACATGACTCAGACAGCAATATATATATATATATTTTTAATTTTTTTTTTACACCTTTTTCTTCACGTAGAGTCCTAAAAGTGGTGGATTTGCTGTTTGGGAGCCACCAGTTCCACTAACTGCTTTCCAGGTAAACACTTAGCATTGATTGTAAGAGCTTGTATCATTTTTACTTACCCTTTAAGCTTTGGAAATCCACCAATGTATGAATAATTATTTAGAAGACTAGGAGACTAAACGACCTTCAGCACAATGTATTCAAAAAGTACTCCATGCTTATTCTGGTACACTTGCTAAGGTCCTATTTCTAGTGGAGATACCATAAGATGGTTTGAGAACTAATCCCAATTAATTTACGACCTTGAAACTGCCTCAAAATAAATCATTTGGGGGTTCCTCGCTCGAGCGTTTAACAAAGTGCATAATCAACTCCAACATCCCACTAGATAAACCAATTTGATTAAACCAATTATTTGTGTGCACGTACTTTGAGACTTGACATAAATCAAAACCAAACAATTCAAGTACTTTTTGCATTGGAAGGCAATACATATGATGCTTTGACTGTGTCTTTAAGCTTGGCTATGCTAGCTTGTACCTTTAGCAGCATGGACCTGTATGTTGATATATCTTGCTTCTTTGAAATCAAATTAAATTTCCTAACTTGAATCCACTTGGACATCTAAAACTAAGTACAAAACAATTATAAATTACATAGGTTTTGTCTAAGGGATTGATAAATCCAACTAGAACAGGATTCTAATACTAACAACGCGGTGTATCGTACATAGAGAATACACAAATGCTCCCTCAAGACTGGTTTAAGCCATAGTTTGACCTGAGTCACCTAGGGTATAATAACAAGGAGTCGGTAGCCCATTCCCCCAAACGCCACCCCAAAGAGAAGAATTCATCTCCTCGTGGTCACCAATCCACATGGGAGTAAGCCACCAACCACCAGGATACTACTCTGGTAATTTGTATCATTTTACACCCAAACAAGTCCTCTTCGTAGTTTACAGGAACCCGACTTTTTAACATTTAATATGAAACAATGATTTTTACTATCACATTTCTCTTTATGTAGATGTTCAATCCTTCAGAAGTTTTTGCTGACATTATGGTCGAGATGGAGTAAGTTTTAATTTAGTTCATTATCATTAAAATATTTTTCACACCATGGATAGCTTATATTAACCTCGGTCAATTGGTTGTCTAGACATGTGGACTGCACTGCATCTATAATCTATGCTCTATTGTTCTTCAAACGTTTACATCCAACGCATCGAGAGAAAGAAATCGAAATTTCAGTGGCAAAAGCAATAGGTTTCCTTGAGCGGAGACAGTTTCCCAATGGTTCTTGGTGAGTTAGTTTCACTTCTAAATTTATATATATGTAGACATTAAAAAGAAAATTAAAAATGAAGAGCTGTGGCAATTGGAATTGATGTGTTCAATGACATGAGCAGGTATGGCTATTGGGGAATTTGTTTCATCTATGGAACATTTTTTGTGCTGCAAGGGTTAGTTTCAGCTGGAAAGACTTATAGCAATAGCCAAGCAGTTCGTAGAGGCATTGAATTTTTGCTTTCAATACAAAATGAAGAGGGAGGTTGGGGAGAGAGCTTGGAATCATGCCCTTCTATGGTAACTTCCATAACTAAGTTTTGTGTTCAATTATAGACTTGGCTCTAACACCTAATTAAACTGTGTTGACGAGTTCCAATTCCAAACTGGGCACAACAATATATATATATTAGAAAAAGAAAAAGAAAAATTCTACCCAACAATAATGTGAGAAATGATAGAACTATTCCAAATGCTCTGTTTTTTCCAAAGTTTTATGTTTTACTCATTTCGATGATTTTTATGCATGAAAAAGAAATATCAACCACTAGAAGGAAACAGAACAAATCTAGTACAAACATCATGGGCTATGTTGGGTCTTATTTATGGTGGACAGGTTAGTATCAATTTCGAGAGTCATATCATGAAGCATATAAGTTAGTTAACATACCTATATACAATTGTCTTATATTAAAGTTTTTTTTTATCCATTTCTTATTAACTAGGCTGAGAGAGATCCAACACCTTTACATAGAGCAGCAAAGCTATTGATCAATGCACAGATGGAAGATGGTGATTTTCCACAACAGGTAATTTACCTTGGAAACACTTCTGTGTGTCCCAAAATGGTTCATACATTTTGGAAGAAATGACACAGTTGAGTCAATTGAGTTCACAAAGTTGTTAGTTCTTTTAGAATTTATGGTTTTATTATTTCAAAAAGTTATGTTCTTCAAAGATTATAACTTCCTAACCATGGAAATTCCCCTCACAGGAAATCACTGGAGTCGTCATGAAGAATTGTATGCTACATTATGGACAATACAGGAACATTTTCCCAATGTGGGCACTTGGAGAGTACTGCAAGCGTGTTAAATTCCAGATGGGAAAAAAGTAAAATAAAAAAAAAATAAGGATTAGTCTCTATGCATTAATTTGTTGCCTTAGTTTCTATCGTGATCCTAAGTTTGTTCAAGACATTTGACTAGCACAGCTTCCCTACTCTTTGTTTTGTCAAGTAATAGACTATGAAGTTGCTTTTGTACCCGCGCTTTAATTTGATAATTTGAAGCTAAGCTTCTATCCAAATTCTCTTTCGCATCTAAAAGTTCAGATTAAAAGCTAATGCAAATGCAATTCTCAGTTTCATGACTAGCTACAACACTAGAACTGACTCAAAAATTGTAGGACCCAACTTTAAGTAAATAACAGACTAATCATATCTCCAAGATGTTGCAATTTGTTTGTCTCTCACTCTTAATATCCAGAAGATAAAAATCAAAATGCTTCCAAAATTTTAATCTAAAGCAAAGATGTTTGATTATCGCATAAAATCATTCACAATGACTTAGGTCAGATTGTTCAGATCCAGGACTTTTTATCTTTATTTTCCTATTATCTTTTTATCTCCAACTCCGCCAACTCCTCCACCTCACATTTCAGCACCCTAAATTACCAACCAAACCATCCAATGACTCCACTTTTACTTTGCAAGTGGATCAAAAATCAACAGCAGAGTATCATTGGCCAGTCTATTTCAGTGTATAATGTGTTATACATACATATGTATAAACTATAAAGGTAGAGGATTAACTAACTTAATCCTCTCTCTAACACCTTAAGCCACTAATTCGACATGGCATTATAGGAGGCAAAAAAAATTCTTGTGTTCAAACCACTCCGCTAATTCAGAGATGACATCGATGTACTCATTTTTTTTTTCCTACTTAAAATGGAGTGTATCAAATTCAGATTTCATAGATCATAAATTCTTCAGTTCACTATGTAAATTATTTGTATGTATAGCAAAAGAGCTATGAGATTGATGAAATTTACCTGATCTGTTGAAGATTGTCATCGTACTTGGAATCGCGTGTATCAATTTCACTTGTTGATTTGCACTTCTCTCTCGGCTTTCGAGTTTAATAGTAATCGCATCGAATTAGTGCTTTTTAGAGAGAGAGAGAGAGAGAGAGAGAGTTTTAGAGAGAGAAAGAGAGAGTTTTAGAGAGAGAAAGGAGAAGAACCTGGAGGAGAGAGAGTCATTCAAGCCTCGAAATGCAGATGGAAGCGCCATTGTTGATGCAGAGAGAGAGAGAGAGAGAGAATGGGAGAGAGTTCACATTTCACATTGAGAGAGTTCGAAGATTTCAAATTCTGATCTATTTATATGGGCAATATGAGAGGATATTAATTCATGAGCCCACGAATTGATTTGGACCGGGCTGAAATAAGATCTTTGGTATGCTTGCCCGAGCCCAATCTTTTTGTATTATTTATTTATTTATTTATTATTATTATTATTATTAGAGGGTTGCATTCATGTCTAAAAGTTAGACCAACTTTCTAAATTCAGTGCCAAGAAGATAATTAGTTGATAATTAAATATTTTTTAATTATCAACCAATCATCTCCTTACACATCATTGGATCTAGAAAATAAATCTAAAAAGTAAACTTGTATATCATTTTCTTTATTATTATTATTATTATTATGTTTTTTGTGGGGTAGTTGATGGTTTCCAAATTTAAGTTAGAGTTAAGTAAGGCTATAATTTTTTTTTTTTATCGGAATAAAATATTTCATTCAAGAAAGCCAAACGGCACTTACAAGAGTCTATCCAACCCCAAACTTACACCAAACAAAGTGAAAATAAAGCAAGAAGCACAAAGGAAGAAAGCTATGAAAATATTCAGACATACATTTCATACTCGTGCTCGTACTGTGAAGCAGAGCCGATTATAAAAGTTTGATAATAGAGTATGTTTGAGATAAATCATAGATCCCAACTACAAAAAGGGTAAGCATAACAAATCCACACAGATGGACTCTAAGAAACCAAACAAACCCAGAAACATCAAACTAACAGTAGGAAAAAAGAAAAAACAAAAGGAAACAACTCAAGACTAACGCTAAACAACAAATCAAAAACAAACCCACAACCAAACAAAAAACCGGCAATGACAGCAGTGAATTTGGCGATGGAGAAGGTGAGGGAGAAGAGACGGTGAAGGCGGCGGATCCATGAAAGCTACTCCCAGAGTGAATAGATGGGAGAAAGAAACACCTTACAAAGGAGGGAGATTGTGAAAAACCAAAGCTTCTAAGTTATTGGAAAGCAAAGTAAGGAAAGGAAAGAGAAAAAGAGGGGTAAGGAGAGGGGAGAGGAGGCCGGAGGCCGCCGGAACCCCCTCTCTCACTGCCGGCAGCCACAAGCTCTGAAAACCCTAGAGAAAGAAAAGTTTAGAGAGAGAAACTCTCAAACTAGTTTTTTTGCCCTTTTGGCTATAAAATGTTATTACATAACTATCACTATCAACCCTCTAAAACTCACACAACTATAATTACACAACTATCTTATTTATACATAAAAAATAAGAGAAATTGTAGTTCCATACAATTATTAAAACAATACACATAATGAACTTTTAATGGGTCATATATATAAAACTACAAATGCTAAGTTGAATCATCAAACCACTAGTTTTTGGACTAACCCAATATATGTGGCCCATAAATGTTATTTATAATTGGTATTTTGTGAAAAATAAAATAGAGTTTTGAACAAGATTGTTAAATTTTAACATTTTGAATATTATTACATACTGGTTTGGTAATCAACTAAAAAAGTCATAAAAAACTTAGAAAGTCATAAAGTTAAAAAGTCACTAAAAAGTTAAAAAATTAAAAATTATACAAAAAGTGAAAGATTTCATTTCTTTTCTACTTTTTGCAAGATTTTTTTTTCCATAAAAAACCAAAAAAATATTTTTTTTTTATCTCTTATTTTAGCCAAAAAATTAAAAAAATTTTATATGAAAATAGTCTATTCCTAAACCTTTGGTCTTGATTTGCCATTTTGACAATTCAACCTAGAGATTATTTGTCACGACCCGAACCCGTCCCTCTGGGTTAAGGCCATAACCGGCCAGTAATCACGAGACTACCTACGGCCTTAAACCAAATAAGACAAAACTCATCAGAGTAAAAGGGGCCAAACGGAAGCAATTTTAAAACTTTGTCCATAGAGCCGTGCTTATATGCACACAAAACGACCTTAGGTCCATTTATTTCTATCAAAACGACCTTAGGTCCATTTATTTCTATCAAAACGACCTTAGGTCCATTTATTTCTATCAAAACGACCTTAGGTCCATTTATTTCTATCAAAACGACCTTAGGTCCATTTATTTCTATCAAAACGACCTTAGGTCCATTTATTTCTATCAAAACGACCTTAGGTCCATTTATTTCTATCAAAACGACCTTAGGTCCATTTATTTCTATCAAAACGACCTTAGGTCCATTTATTTCTATCAAAACGACCTTAGGTCCATTTATTTCTATCAAAACGACCTTAGGTCCATTTATTTCTATCAAAACGACCTTAGGTCCATTTATTTCTATCAAAACGACCTTAGGTCCATTTATTTCTATCAAAACGACCTTAGGTCCATTTATTTCTATCAAAACGACCTTAGGTCCATTTATTTCTATCAAAACGACCTTAGGTCCATTTATTTCTATCAAAACGACCTTAGGTCCATTTATTTCTATCAAAACGACCTTAGGTCCATTTATTTCTATCAAAACGACCTTAGGTCCATTTATTTCTATCAAAACGACCTTCGGTCCATTCATTCGTTCATGTCAGACTTTTGTCCACAATCCCAATTAGCAACTCATAAAGCTTATAAGGGAATAAACAGTTGGACATTGCTAAGCTTTCAAATATCGATATTACTCACAGTGATCGGCTTGTGGATTTGCCCTGGAGCTTGACCCTACACATTTCATGAACACAAAAGGGGTCACTAACAGTTCAATCAGTTCTTTAATTCACACATTCCTCTTTAGGCTTTATTTTTATCTCGTTAACTCATTTACAATGCTTAATACATGCCTAAGAGTGCTTACAAGTGAAAGAGAACGGAAAACGAAACACAGAACGAGCATACAAAATTTCAGAAAACATGGTCCACGCTCGAGCATGGACTTACCCGCTCGAGCGGACCCGAGAGGCCTGTAAAAGTACTGGTTACCTCAAAATTACGCTCGAGTGTGAGTTAGGGCGCTCGAGCGGAAGGCTTGTCTATAAAAGCTCCCCGCTCGAGCGTTAAATATTCCGCTCGAGCGGACATCCAACTTTGCAAAAAGTGTTGGGAGCACGATTTTCCCGCTCGAGCGGCAATCACCCCGCTCGAGCGGACATAAAAAATCTGGGTCTTCCAGATTGAGTTCTTGAGCTCCCTTCAACATTCAAACCATCATTTCTTGTCTTTAATGGCTCTAATTTCACATATACTTGTACTAACATGGTATACACACCAAAATACATCTTCATGGAGCCCAATTTCATAAATCAAATACATGCATGGCTCAATTTAATTCAAGCTCAATTCTATCATACACATTCATGCATTCCAAAGCTCCTATCTTTAATTATTCAACATGCATGCTAATCTTGACTTCATTTCCATTCCAAATAATGCAAATGGTGTTCATTCTCATGGAGCTCAACAAAAACATGCTTGCATGTAAGATTTAACACCTTTATTTCCATATTCAACTTAATACATGCATGATTATGCAAAATCATGGTGACAAAATCATGGTGATCCTACACATGCATGTGCACATTAGCTTCAAATTCATCAATTGTAGCATAACTCTTGTTCTTGATCACCAATTAGCTTTTAATTCACAAAATTACAAGTTCAATTTCATGAATTTACTCACCTAGGAGTTTAATCTTCCAAACCCTAGTCAATTCTTGGACTTAATCTTCAAGCTTCCCAAGCCTTGAGCCAAAACCACACAACTCTCTCCCTTCTCTCTCTAAGGCCGACCCCCCTCTCTCTCTCTATCCTTGAGTTCAAAATCAGCCAAAGTGTTAAAAAGAGGAGGAATTGAAGTGTAATGGCCCTTATGTATAAGCCCACTAATCAAGTTTAATAATAATAAATAATATGACACTAATTCATTAATTAAATCAATGTAATCTGGCCTGAATTAGTTTTTCAATTAAATTTCAACGTAGGCTCTAAAAATTATGCCAATCACAATGGCGTAATCAATTTCGGGTTTTG